TTGTGAATGCAAGTAAAACAAAAATGTTAAATTTATTATATGAAGACTGAATTAAGTGTTGTTTGCTAATAAGGATGTCTTAGTGTCTGGGGAAATCTCCTACATATAATATGTTAACTAATTCATGACAAATTATTCACCCACCATCTGGGTAGTTTTGGTGTTTGTACATTTAACATTTGATGTGTAATCACGTACATCACAAGTTATACATCATCAACCCCTAAGAAAACTGCTTGCTGACCAGTAACCACTGAGTTTTATTTTCAGACATTACCTGGGACTTAGTTATTAATGATTTTATTCAATTGAAGAGGTGCCACTTTATTATAGGGTTATGTCCTGGTCATGGAGCTGTGTATATCTTGTTTTACTTTGGTCACCAGTGGCACGAGCCTTCTTTTTTATATAGATTCTCTTTCCTTCTTATTTTCCAAACCGGTACTCTGATTAAAACCTTAAAACACCTGTTTCAGGTTTCTGTGCTACGGATATTCAGTAGCTGTTGGCAAGAGTCTCACTGACCCTGATGAGGGTGCAGGCTTCTCGTTTTTTTTTTTTTTTTGTTTGTTTTTTTTTTTTGTTTTTTTGTGATGGGGGTCCTCCCGTGTTAGTTTGGGAAAAATAAAAGTGAAAAGATTAGATTTGTTGAGATTTTTAACCCAGCGGAGGGTTAGCCACCCAGGATAACCCAATAAAGTCAGTGTGTCATTGGCAACTGTCTGTCTTATTTCCATTGGGATCCTTTAATCTTGTTCCCCAGGATGCAACCCACACAACAGCTAACACCCAGGTACCTACTAACTGCTAGGTGAACAAGGACAGCAGGTACAAGGAAACATACCCAATGTTTCCAAGCATTCTGGGGATTGAACCTAGGACACTCGGTGTATGCAACAAGTGCGTTGCCATCTGAGCCACAGGACCTCACAGACATTACCAAATCGTCATTTGGTCACTAGAAGTCTGATATTTTCCTACTAGGGAATCATTCTACCATATATAAATTTAGTAAAACTATAGGCAAGCACAGACATAACCTACCTTTTGAATATATTTTAAAAAGTCACTGAAACTGCAACCTGGATAACTTGCTGATGTTTGTGATGTGTAAAGTATGACTTTGCAAGATACTTTTGGAAAAACTTGCTCCCTTTTACTTCCACCGAGATTTGGGCAAAATCTTTACTTCAGACACTGGAAGGTAGAGTTCAGTTTGGCTGGCTACTTGCTCAAGTAGTTCTTTAAACCAAATATTTCATAATTTTCAGCTGAAGTTTTGTTAGACAAGGTGTTCTGTTAAAATGCATTCCACCATTATCAAAGCCTGGTCATGTACTGTACCACGAAGGCATTGACCCTGAAACGCCCTCCAGGTATATCGGAGCAGAATGATTTATTCTAACATTTACTTTCTGTATCCTTAAATTATTCTGCTCGGAAGAACAAATTTTGGATGTGGATTGGGGCATGTGAAAATAATACAGTAATAATAGAATTGGTAAAGTATTTAAGCTATTGGGATCCTTCAAGGTACTAGCTTATACTTCAGCATTGATCATGACCCTTCCATTAAAGCATAGTATTCCAGGATGTCTCCACATAATGGTGCTTAGCAGCAGAAGACTGCTTGAAAGCTGCCCATTTTTTGAGAGGCTTCCAGGGCAGTAGCTTCTATAAAAGCAGCTACAGAATACACTTCTTGCTATATTCTCTGTATCCAAGATGAGTGGGGTGCAATTGTAACAGGATGGAGAAGGGTGAGAGGTAGAGGAACAGGAGTTTATGAGCAACGGCTGAACCACAAGAGGAGTGGGAAAACACTTAGGCAGATTTTTAATGCAAGACTGAATCAAATCCCACTACAATGAGTTCTTGTGAACCGTCACATCTACTACAGTTAATGGGGCAGAGGAGCTCTGAGAAGTAGATGTAGATAGGCAGTGTAAGGAAATAAGTTTTAATGAAGAAAGTACCGGAAACGTGTGCGCTGGAGGAGAGAAATCTGAAATTGTTGTGGAAAGGCTCGGATGATAGGTCATGCAAGACTATACAGGTGTTCTTTCATACAGGATAATCCATTCATCTTCCCCATGACTAAAAAGTTTATTTTCTCAGAGAAGTAATAGAAGTTAGATTGGAATATATTGTCAAGAGTGGAAACAGATTAGCAACAGAAATGACTTAGAACCTTGTGCATAAAATATTTACAGGCTGTAAAGATTTTTGTTTAACCTTAAACTGTCCAATCGTAGATCTATATTGACGTGCGTAGCGCTCCGATTGTAGATCTACTTTTTTTTTACATAAAGCATGTAAAATCGAATGTAGATCTACGTCCAGAGCGCTATGCACATGAACGTAGATCAACGTTTGGACAATTTAAGGGTTAATGGAAATTTCCTTTGTCTCTTAGAAAAGGCCACAAGATGGAACAATGAATGGGACTGATGTTAGTTAATTTATCCCTTAAACGGTCCAAACGTATATATACGTCCACTCGTGTAGCGCCCCAATTTTTTTGAGAAAAAAAAAATCTTATTTTTTAATAGGAAAAAAGAGCAAATAGTACCCAGGCATCCCCAATTATTTTAATATGGCACACAGTGCGTGCGCACACCCATTCTCTCATGTCTAGGTGACTCGGGCATATCGTGGCAATGATGAATAAATGACAAAGAAAACGTATATGTACGTTTGGACTGTTTAGGGGTTAATTGCTTGGAGTGTAGAGACCATTATATTACATTGCTCTTCATTTTGCAAGCCTCCAGTGTTTCTTCTCACTTCTCTTTGCTTACCTCTTTACTTTCCAACTTATAACGTTTCTGCCATTTTCTTACATTCCATCTTGCACATTTCCTTGTGTCCTTGGCCCTTGGAGCCACCTCTCCATCATTTCTGTCTCTTACCTTGACTTCATTTTCCTTAATCCTTGCAATTTCCTCACTCTTGTCTCCCTCATTCTTTTGGTACTCAGTGCTCTTGCTATCGTGGAAACGGGTTAACAACAGGAATGGAGATAGCAAGAGCACCAAGTGCCAAAAGAATGGATGAGGAAATTACAAGGATTAAGGAGAATGAGGTCAAGATAAGAGACAGAAATGATGGAGAGGTGGCTCCAAGGGCCCAGGACACAAGGAAATGTGCAAGATGGAATGTAATAAAATGGCAGAAATGTTATAAGTTGGAAAGTAAAGAGGTAAGCAAAAAGAAGTGAGAAGAAACACTGGAGGCTTGCAAAATGAAGAGCAATGAAATATAATGGTCTCTACACTCCAAGCAATTAAATTAACTAACATCAGTCCCATTCATTGTGCCATCTTGTGGCCTTTTCTAAAAGATAAAGGAAATTTCCATTAACTCTTAAATTGTCCAAACATAGATCTACGTTCATGTGTGTAGTGCTCTGGATGTAGATCTACATTAGATTTTACACGCTTTACGTAAAAAAAAGTAGATCTACGATCGGAGCGCTACGCACGTCAACATAGATCTACAACTGGACAGTTTAAGGGTTAAACAAAAGAAAACTTAATAGCCTGTAAATATTTTATGCACAAGGTTCAAAGTCATTCTACTCTAGAAATTTGGCCCAATGCCAAACTTTATTATTGACTGCCTATAAATAGGCTGGAGTAATTTCATTTTTTTTTTTTTTATACCTCTGCCTACTGAAAGCTTTACTTCCTGGCACACTACCCAAGTCTTACACCTAGATGTTAGATAATCACCTAGTTTAGGTTGTAGATTACACATGTTTACCTGTGCACTAAGTAGGGAATATACTGTAGTAAAAAAAAAAAAAACACTCACACTGTCTATACTCTGTGAACCCCTAGCTCTCACATTGCTGCTATATATAGCTCGCTAGTGCCATTTTTACAGGGGTGTCATTTATCACCTTTGTGGATGAAATGTTTTCCACAACTTTGTTAGCTCATGAAGTAACTAATTATAGTGGAACTGTTAACATAATCAGTTACTCCCAACGTCTGAGATCACTGACATGCTCTGTTTCTAATCACACCTGAGGAATACAGCGATACTAAGTTATTGGAGTATATATTGAACGTACGTATTGGAGTATACATTGTTTAGTGCTCCCAATGAATACAGTTATAAAAATTGGGAAAATAGTTTCCCTTACTCCACGGTACAATGTAACATTTAATATTCTCTTCTAGTGGCTAGATTAAAAAAATATCCTCAGTGTTCGTCCTCGCACTTTATCTAGAATCAAAAGTCGATGCATTTACACATCCTTCACACTTGTAAAATCTCCATTGCACAGTCAAAATAAATTTTTATACAAACATCTCCAATGAAGTAAGAATAATTAACAAAATTTATTTCATCATACTACCACTCTACAAGTTAATTTTCTCCCTTTAAACTAGGTGGGAATAGATAGAAAAAGCTAAATTGGAAGTAACCCCCTGAAAAAAATTTCCTGTGCAGAATCCAAGATTGAATCCTACCCTTGAATTGGGCTCTTCAGGAGATGGAAATTTTTTCATTGACAGCCATAAGCAAAATGCTTCGGACAATAGACTAAAGTTCTGAAAGCCATGAAATAAGCTAAAAATTGACACTACATGAATAATTTTTAATTAGACATCAAATTTCGCTGATATTTCTGATACACCAAATGCTAGTGGATTTACAACAGCCTATCCTCTTAAGTCCGTATTTCGCCACTCCCAAGAGTGTCACGTGGGCGACTATTCACGAGCCTAGTGTGTATAAAAATATACCTAGGTGGGCGAATCTTATTAGTCTAGTGTAATACAGTGGTTAGCGCCCTGTCCTGCAACTTTTAAGATTGGCTGGATGGAAGAATACACAAATACACTACAGCTTCTCCTTGCTTAACGACAGAGTTCCGTTGCTAAGACCATGTCAGCAAATGAATTCGTTGCTAAGCAAGAAGCATACTATAATGGTAGTGGGTTTGTCAACCATCTTTGATATTGTTTTAATGTCACCTTTGCACCATTTATAATATTTTTAGTATTTTTAAATGTTTATACAGTAGTGTACTGTATATTGTAATAAAAAGAATAGAAGAAATCGACTCTAATATACATTATTTAGGTATGCATACTGGTCAGAGAGGCTGTATAATGCGATCCTTTATTGACTGCGTTTCGCGCACACAGTGGGCTTTGATAAAGCCCACTGTGTGTGTGAAATGTAGTCAGTAAAGAATCGCATTATATTGCATTCATGTCTATTTTTCCACCATGTCGGTATTTTATACTATTTATCTCTTAAGGACTGGCTTACCAAGAGTTCAAATGTGACATTTTGAGAGTTGAGCTAGACATTTTTTAGTGTGTGGGCTTGGTGGGTCCCAGTTTTCTGTTAGCTCTTCTAAACTTTTCATCGCCTTTGTATTTCATTTATTGACATTGTAGCAAGTTATAACTGGTTAATTTTTATCGATAGATGGCACACTAACTTAGCCTAAATAATGCAAAATAAGAAATTAGCTGAAAGGTATACAGTGGACCCCCGCATAACGATCACCTCCGAATGCGACCAATTATGTAAGTGTATTTATGTAAGTGCGTTTGTACGTGTATGTTTGGGGGTCTGAAATGGACTAATCTACTTCACAATATTCCTTATGGGAACAAATTTGGTCAGTACTGGCACCTTAACATACTTCTGGAGTGAAAAAATATCGTTAACCGGGGGTCCACTGTATGTGAGAAATTGACAGAATTTGCATAGATACGTTGTTTATAAAACAAAAGCATTGATATGTTCCCATTCATACCATCAGGCTCAGATTTGTAAACTACTGTATATCTCATCTTCCCCCCCCTTAAAAAAAAATGGAAAAGTCGCAAACCTTAAATACCCATTGAAGACTATTTAGATACATGAGTTATTCCATAAACGCTGAAAAAAATACTAATTAGAGCCCTGCTCCACAGAGGTAGCAGTTTTGACATCCGATATTTAGATAACTCTGAAGTAGTGCCGATAAGTAACACTGCTAAACACATTGAATCAACATTCATACAACTCAGGGCATAAGTTTACACCAGGACGTTCTAGGCTTTTGCCACTGCTAGGCAGCTGTGGCACTGTTTTGGGCACAGGAAGACAGATTTGTCAGTGTAATATACCATACACACTTGATTTTTTTTTTCTTCTTCTTTAGGTTATGTTTTCTTGTGTAGTTTTCCCAAGTGTTCATTCTCCTCCAGATGACTGCATGTTTTAATATCATGCCAAGATAAAACCGTTCCCATTACTAAATTTACTAATTGTAATATTGTTATATGTTTGTATTACCTATTATAAATCGAATTAGTTTATCACTTCAGTTACCTAACTTTTATATCAGTATGCAGTAATGTATATTAAAATATACTGCTCCTGAAATGCATAGGCATGCTAGTGGCCTTCTTTGTAATTAATATTTTATATGTAAACCACACATCGTAAGCTTTACAAGGAAATAAGCATTTTCATTTTCATTGATGTCTTTTGCTGCTGCAGGTGCTTAAGGGAGCAACCTCCTAGTGCTCTGGTCACTGCCAGGTGGAAATACTGTTGCTGATATTTTTTTAGATATTGTCCAGTTTATTGGTTGTTTGTAGGAATTGCATTAATGCTTTAACTATATTCTGCTTTAAAATGAAGTGGGAAGATCTCTCCTCCCAAAATGTTTTCAATAGTGAAGAGGATTTTCATGGTGCCATGGTCATGTTTGATGTGATCCTTGAACCATTGATGTCAAAAGCAGAGGAAGAGAAAATGCTGTATTTTTTTTTTTCTGGGGCATTGCAATGAGTGCAATTTTCATTTCTGTCAGTTCTGTAGCTGTGGGCTGCTATGTTTGTGTCCCACCCTTAGTCTAGCCATTGCTGTGTATTACTTAGTTTTATGCCATGTAATATATATATATTATATATATATATATATATATATATATATATATATATATATATATATATATATATATATATATATATATATATATATATATATATAATTTTTTTTTGGTCGTCTCCCACCGAGGCAGGGTGACCCAAAAAAGAAAGAAAATCCCCAAAAAGAAAATACTTTCATCATCATTCAACACATTCACCACACTCACACAGCAGAGGTGCTCAGAATACAACAGTTTAGAAGCATATACGTATAAAGATACACAACATATCCCTCCAAACTGCCAATATCCCAAACCCCTCCTTTAAAGTGCAGGCATTGTACTTCCCATTTAAAATTAAGCCCTTTCTAAAAATTTTCTCTTATATGTTTAAAGGTATATTTTTTTCATTAATGTTAATGTAAAAAAAATTTTATTTTGCACCAAAAGAATCTTAGAAAACTTGCCTAACCTTATTATAACAAGAACAATTTATTTTAGCCTAACCCATCTATATATATTTTAGATTAGTTTACAGTAATTTAATACTAAACAAACACAGTGAAATATATTTTTTTCGTTAGGGTCAGAATGATTTTGGCGAAATAATTGCATACACAAATTTTCGCTTGTCCTATATGGCAAGATGAGCGTTGCTATTTAAGCCAAGATCGCAAGTTCTGCCTATTCGGCACGATATATATATATATATATATATATATATATATATATATATATATATATATATATATATATATATATATATATATATATATTATATATATATATATAATAACTTCATCTCTCAAATAAGTGTAGAAGTCCTCAAGAGCAAACTGGACCACCACTGCTGCTAAGTTAGAGAGCAACCAGACTATCACGTGATGGATATGTGGGCAAGCGGGCCAACAAAGGCAACAGACTGATTGAACAGGCAGTCAGTAGAAAAACCAGGCCCAAGGGTCAACTGCAAGAATGTAAAACCAATCGAAACCGGCTACAGGTATATCACGGGTATGCCTTGTTCTGCCGCTGTCTAATTATACTTTACACACGCGGCCAACCAAATCTGGCTTAATACTAAAGCTCTTTTATAAGGTTTCCTTCCTTTTAAACAACTTGCACCCATCAGCAGTGTTTGCATAACTTTTGGTTAGCCGTTATATTAGGGAATGACTGAATTAAAGTCTTAGTTGTAAATTTGTAGCATTGCTGGGGAACAGTTGTGCTGACAAGTATTAATGAATTAGAAAGCCCTCTATGTAGCTGCTTTATCAGCTTAAAATCGCATATTCATTTGCTCGTGGGTCTCT